TCCTTCTCCTTCATCACTGCTGCAGTTTCACACCCTCAGTTCAGTGCTTTTCAGAAGGATGCGGGGGTTTTTTGAGAACAGAGGGAGCTGACGCGCCTCCCACGGCCCTGGCTTTGCAGAAAAGCAGGAGAGGTTCAGGGAGGAGAGAAGGTAGGCAGACCTGAATTGGCTTCACGCAGCAAATCACCTGTAATCTGTTCAAGCAGAGAAGTTTAGGAAAAGAATTTGATTTAGCAGCCTCCACGCAATTCCATGCAGCAGTGGACATGGGGTACCGTCCACAGCACTGCACACTCTGCGTGTGTTGGGGGGAAGATGTGGTGTGTGAGAGGCTGCACGGAGCACATCTTACAAGTGGTTTTCTCATTGCAAGGGCTGCTCGGCACCACAGGTCCTTTTACCCAGGCCATGAGAGGTACCAACACCCTCCCAGAGAGGTGCTGTTCTGCCCTGCTGTGGGTACGCTCAGCCTCTGTCCCTGGAATGTTTGTGTGCCTGGCCACAGAGATGCTTCTCCTGAACACTGAAGGAAGCCCGTGTACCCAAGATTATTCACACGTAAGCCATGTGTGACACTTACAGGGGTAAGAGCACAGGTCACCCCTCAGGGCTGGCAGTCGGGGCACCAGGCTTCTCATTTTACCAGTGCAAGGTAAGATGATGATTATGGGACTTCCTCCACATTAAAAGAATGCACTTACAGGAGAACCAAAATACAACCAAGCTACCAACCTCATTATATTGCTTTTCTGGCGCAGAGTTAGCCAAAGAAGAGCAAAGACCCGACACTTGTATCAGTTATATCCAGACTAGGGAGCAGGCCTGATGGTTACAAACCTGTGAGCTGTCCCCAGGAAGCGTTCAGGTCCCCAGCAGCGGGAGGCACATCAGAGATGCCCTTGAACTTAAACCTGAAAACAGCCCGACTCACTACCAGAAGCACTGGCCCTGAATCCAACCTGAGGTTCAAGCGAAATCCTCCCTTTTAAAATTCAGATGAGTCCTGATTTGGCCCACCTAAACTATACCTGCGTCTGTCAGCAGTCATTCTACTCTCAGAAGTGAAATTGCACCTGTGGGGAAGAGAGCAATATTCAAATCAGTCCCACAGACCAGTAATTAAGAAACAGGCAATATTCTTATTTAGAAGTGCTGGCTGTCTCCACGCTGAGGGATGCTATCCCCACTTCGTTACAATTGCCAAACACTCCAGCTCGCAGTGACAGCAGCTATAGCTGAAGACAAGACTTGCGTGCCAAATTTCACCATTTTTCATCTTAGTGGAGTGGAGAGGCACTGCTGGGGCTTTTTTGTTAGGAGATTCTGCTATTTCAAGTGCCTTTTGCTAAAGAACAATTTCAGATTGTTTAAACTTTACAGGTATAATAAATTATACCTGCCTAAATAAAGCAGTAAAAAAGCAACAGTAAGAGCTCCACTTTTAACAGTTTAAAAGGGCTAGTATCAGACCGTTTATTCTTCAACAGAAAGGGGAATAAATCATACTGAAGATGACAGTGTATCATTAGATACTGTAGCCATTACAAAAAACTCTCCCACCTCAAATCACAGAGGCCAAGTATTTCCATCCTTTTCTCAGGACTAAGCAAAGACTGAAGGCATAAGGATGCCTCTGTAGCAGTCCTGTGAATGAGCACTTCAGTCCTTACATCTTACCCCATATTAGTTACAGACATTGCGTGTGTAATTGAATGCAAATGAAATGGCACATCAGCCATTCAGTTTTCTTGAGGACAACAGATTTTGTTGGTACGCATCTAGTTATTTCCTCCCAGTTAGTTACTTCTGACTGCTGAAAGTGAATTATATCAGGGATGGAATAATAAGAACAACACAGAGGATTTCTGGAAGCTTGCAGAAGTAGGATTGAACTTTGGCAAATTATAAAGAAAAAAACAAAAGCAAACCCCCCACATGCAATGACTAAAACTCTACTGAGAAAAGTGACAAAAAGAACAACTTTATTGACCAGCCAGAATGAAACCAGACAAAGTGAATGAGAGGACTAAGTGATGCAGGCAATCAGTATTTGCATGTCTGACATACAAACAAAGGCTTCCATCTCGCTGTCCTTACCCAAGCGATATTCCCACTGACATATGGAAATAGTGAACCCGGGTAAGTTCTGGCAGGCTGAGCCTGAGATTTATTTTCCTATTTTTAAAAATACAGATCTTTATTTATTCATTGTGAATAGATTAAAAATACAGCATATAGCAGTATCATTCCCAAAGTCTGTCAAATATGTAGTTTTTCTCTTCAAAAGAATGTCATAGAATAAGTTGTGCATTTTTTTGTAAACAATTTCCATTTTCAAATTATGGACAGTCCTATTCATTGTATAGCTAAATAATATGATACCACCTTAGGACAGAAGGTAGTCTGTATCATTAAAAAAAGTAGTTTGCAAACAAAGAATTAATCATAATTTTTTCACTGAGCTGTGTGCACACCTACATACTAGATCTACAGAGAACTGTCAGCAACTTTAGGAACTACTAAAAACTTCACCAAAAAGTGTCAATAATTACACCCTATGTCCTTTACGTACATGTTTTGGATGGGCACATTCAATCTCCTCTCCTCCCTGGTTAGTGGGTTGTTACACCTCCTCCTGCGTGGTTAGTGGTGGTGTTAAACAGGCTTCCTTCTCAAGGAAGATCTCAAAAACTTGGCATCAACACTGCATGAGGAAAACAAATCATTTTGTCTGAATTTGTTATAGTGCCTACACTGTGTCGGTTCTGCACAAAACACTGACTATTCAGCTGTCTTCAGAGGTGAATGGCACATTCACCTTTCACTGAGAGCTGATATTTTAATGCTATGAACTGAAAAGAGCAAAAAGGCCACATCCAAAAGAGACTTTAGGCATCTAATGCAGAACTTTGGATAGGCACTTAAAACATCCATCTGACTTGCGATCCTACAAACTCTGGTTCTATTTCAGCATATTAGGTCCAAAAAATACTAGGTCCAAAAATTTGGTTATTTTAGCACCTAGCTTAGTATCTACCTAAGCCCAACTGAGATCTAGAAATTAGACATTCCTCCGTTAATGGGTGAAGAGCTTCGCCTTCACTCTCAAAACAAAACAAAAAAACGAAGTAAAAAGGCCATGAGCACTACTTTCCCACCCCCACCTGCATTATACAGCAAGAAAATGTGGCCATGTGTTGCAAGGCTACTCATGGCTACAACTGCCTGGTGGTTACAGCACCCACTCAGAAGTACGACATCCAAGGATAACTTTTCCCTCCCTCCTAGAAAGGATTCAAATCTTCCCATCTCACTTCCTTAACCACCAGGATATTACCTCTTTCAGACAGTGGCAGTTGTTACTAACATCATGCTTGGATACTGTTTAAACAATAATTCAAGATCCATTTGCCAGAAAGAGAGTCAATGGGGAGCACAACTTTGGAGCCCAGTGACAGGTACTTGCACAGGAAAGGAGGAACTGACTTTTGTTCCTTGAATAGTTTCTACATTTTACAAGAAATCAATATGACTTGGCTATGCATGCAAGAACCCCAATGAAATCAACTGCATCATCTAGCAGCCTGCTTAGTTTTAAGCATGCTTTTAAAAGCTTGGCTAAAGTGAGGCTGGTGAGCATTATAGGTGATTCAGCACTTCACAGGGGCTGCCCCTTACTCACACCAATTTACACCCTCAGGAGACTGTTAAGGCCAAGAAGGCAAAAGCTTCCATCTTAATCTTCTGCAAAATGAGTGTTAGCCATGACCAAGAAAGAGGAACAGCTTCTGTACTGTCCATATAGATGGCACAGCAGCTTTGGAATAAAATACTGGATTTGGAAGAAACTTACCTCTATGCAATGATAATTCAACCACCACCATGTATTTGTCCTATTACTGGTCCAGATTATGCAAACAGGACACAAAAATTCAAGTGTTCGGGGATACTATTGTTTTCTCTTTTTAACCAGCGATTTTCTCTAACTGGCACTTGAAACCATTCGCAGATAAAACACTATTTTAAAAGCTATTTAAGCAAGATAAATTATTTTCTATACATAGAAATAGGTGAATCAACATCCTCTAACCTTTTCAAACATCCCTCTGGAAATGGTGGAAAGTATATTCTCATTTTATGTGAGATGATCTAGTTTCACTGAGAATTGAGATGTCACTGTAAAAATAACTTCAAATTACCCATATATTACAGATCTTGCTACTGTATGTCATTGGACAAATATAAGATCAGTAGAATTTTATACAACTAGGTTATTATATGGTGCAAAATATAAAAATGAGAGACACAGCTGGATGCCTCACCTCATCAGGAACATCAGTGATTTTCTGATGGTAAAATATGCAACGTTGGTAACAAATGAAACACATACCACCCTGAATATCCTCGCTGCCAGTCTGAAGCATCTTCCCCGCCCTGCCCCAAACTGTAAGGATTCTATCTGGAATTCGTTTGAGAAGAATAACAGAAGTGCCCAACAACACCAGCGTAATAGAATGGGACTACTCATTTTAATGAGTAGCTGCATGCTTAAATTGAAAATTTACATTCACATACAAATTTGGTGAGATACAACAAAAATGATGAAGAAATGCTGAGAATTTAGGAAAATATTTTTCTCTATGTGGGGAAGAAAAGAAAAATGTAAACACACTGATCATTTGCTGCTTAAAAAACAGGACATGTGAAACCTAAACAAATATCAGCTTCATTTTTTGTCAAAAAAACCTAGGCCACTCAGTTCTAACAGTTAAAAAAATACAAAAGGTCAAGCGTGTCTGTATTACAGCTTTAAAACACTAGCAGAAGTACGCTATGGTGCCCTACATACCACTTACATTTTGATTTTTCCCCTCAAAAAAATTAGAAAACTAAAATACAAAAAAATAAACTGGTAGCGCCACATAAAAATATATCTTTTTAGCTGCAAATGCAGCGAGTCTATAAAAAAAATTATACACAAGAACTGCTGAATTGTGGCGTCATTCTTCCATCATCGCCCAAGCCTCTTCTGCTTTTTGGTAGTACTGATTCGCCAGCCTGCCTTTCATGGCTTCCATTGCTGCTTCTGCTGCTTCTGTGTACAGGTCACCTAGAAGAGGAAATAGTATCAATTATGTTGACAGGGTAAAGAAAAAACACCTCTTTATCCTGAAGCAATTAAAGGACAAAAAGAGAAATTGAGGTCAAACTACAGGGCTGGATGTATTTTAATAGTGTCAGCAGAGTTACATCAGCTGGGAATCTGGCTTTTGCTCTTCAAGTCGAAAGTTATATGACCGGCTGCTGAGGGCTCTTCAGTGTATTTGCAAGGATTGGCAATATGACCGGTGCCCATAGGAGCCCCCAAGACGACTGTAAGACTTAAGACGCCCGACATGTAGATTACACAACAACTAAGACAATGTTGTGTAGGGCCTGGTAGTCATGGGTGTAACTCAAAATACAAGCAGCAACCTGCAGTTCAGAGGCCTCACAGGGAATGAAGGTTGCTTGCTAGTGACTCAGTGTGTCCCAGGATTGGGTGGTGCCAGGTCCCCTACCCCTGTCATCAGCAAGATCTCTTATTTCACTGTTTTCAGCCTTGTATCACCCAGTATCATTACAGCTTCATCCACGAATCTGAGGGTACTGACCCGCCATATGGTTTTTTAACAGCTGAAGCAGGAAATTATTTTTGGGGTACGTTAGGGGAAAAGGGAAGGAAAAGCAGGATTACTGATTACAGAAACAAAACAAGGCCTCACCTGATCTTTGTGGATCCTTATTCAGGTGGAACCCTCCCGTCATTAACATCTCTGCCTCCCTGGCCAGGAGCAGATACCGGGGCTCATCCTGAGTGCCATCATATTCACCTCCCTCATCGTAGTCGGTCATGTTCAGTGCAGCATTGTACCAGTACAGTGCCTCCTTCCAATCCTGTACTCTGAAGTTAAAAATAATTTTTGAAGATGGTTACCTTAGGAAACAAATGTACTTTGCGTTGAAGATTCAGAATTCAGTTTTGCACTAGCTTCTCAGAGCCTTGACGCTCTCCAAGAAAGCAAATGTTCGCATGGAGGCTCACTAACTCTGCACTGCATCAGGTCACTATAATAAATGAGGCTGGGGTCACTTTATGCAGTAATTACAGAGGAGAAAGTATCAGACTGAAGTGTCTTGCTGAACTCCAGAGTTTTAGCTTTCATTACTAGCTATATGGTTTTGGTCTGGCATTTGTATTTGTGGAGATAATTGATTCAGAAACAATCTGAAGTTGCAGAGAGTCTTGTTTCATAAATACTTTAAAACCAGTGATTTTCCTATTGAGAATGCTCAGTCCACTTCAGTGAGAAATTTAATGTTATTTTGAATTTCACCATTGCTCAGTGTTTCACTGTTGTGCAAAACAGAAAATGCATGTAAATAACAAAGGCTACAATACAAAAGCAGAAAAATCACTATCATCGCCTCTTATGTTTGGTACTTAAGGAAATTAATGTCTGTCCACTTTTAAAAGCTCATCTAAAATGCTAAAAAAAAAAAATTCCAACCAATATACTGTGTAGACTTTTGGCAAATCACAATCTATTTCTTAGTCACAATGCTGATCCTTATCCCTCCTATCAAGATAGGAGTGTTGGCCAAATTAAGAGAGACTTACTGCGGTAGAAGCATTTTTAAGCTTCTTAAAACTTAAAATCATCCTTAATTAAAAGTAACATTGTCAGCATTAAGACTATGTTTCTGTGAAATTTCCATTCCTACCCTTATTATGAGAAGCAGTGAAAGACTACAACTGTGACAAATATTTTGTTCCTCTGATTGCATCTCATATATAGTGACTTTACAATGTCACCTATTTCTCCTGTTCTGCAGCTTCTTTCACAGTTTAATTAGACAAAACCCCCTCACTTTTTAAAAAAAATTTGCTTTTAAAAAAATCACTAAGGAGAAGACATGGCAGTTGTAAAAACTTTTCACTTATTTTTACAGTACTACATCTCCAAAACAACTCTTATGCTCATTTTTTCCCACTGATCCCACGATTTTCAAGTATGCAACTCCCAGTGAAGTCAACCAACTTCAGAGCAAAAAAAAATTGGCTATTAGAGCAACCTGGGTATGAGGGCTAAACTCAAAACATGCAGGTGGATCCAACACACATGTAGGTGTCCAACAGCAGAAATGATCTCCGATTTTCTTTCTGTGTTGATGTATCATGGCCTAAACCCTGCTATTCACACCTGGGTAAGTTTGAAGTAACTCAAAACACTACTTCATAGCACCTCTTCATGTGAATGAAAGACATGTAGCAAGTGCTTCTCTGCGCCCACCCTGCCATGGAGTACCACCAAGTTAAGTTACTCAGTCACGCACAGTACCTGTCTGAGCCAAGATTTACACCTGTATCGTATGCTCTTGCTACCAGAATCATGGAAGGCCGGTCTCCAGCTTCTGCTGCTCTCAGCAGGTAATCAAATCCTTTATTTCTGTTCTCCTTTGTGTCCTAGTAAAACAAACAAAACCTTTAAAATGCATGTTTCGAAGTAAAACCATCCCTTCCTTCCTCTAACACTAAATGCAGTTTCTTCAAGACAGTAATGGCTGCAAGCGTTTAATATGGCTGAGAAACAGGCCCAGCCACAAGAAACTAAGAAGCTGAATAGTAAAGATCACTTCAGAAACTTCCCAAAGGTATGCAGTAATTTGCTGGCAAAATCAGGAACAGGCAGCATCTTTTGCTGCTTTGTCCAAGTCCTTAATTACAAAGTCATCCATTTTCTCTGAAGAGGCTACAGAACACCTAACTATAGTTATTGTTTTGTCTCCATTTCCTGCTATTATGTTATTTTTACAGTGGACCACAATTCTGCATTTTGGCATTTTCTCTAACTTTTCTGTTTACCTCCAGAGTGACCTCAGAAAGAATGTGATGGGGCAGCTGAGAGCACATGAGTCCTAACCCAACGATGGCTTCCAGCTCCCCACAGTCTGCAGCATGCTCCAGGTGAAACAGGGCTGACTCCTTATCCCATTCCTTGTCTTTCTCACAGAAACGCCCAGCTTCATGATAGCGAACCATGGCCAAATGAACCTAGAACACAATTGTACAGGAAAGACACACAAGTATTACGTATAGATCTGCTTCTTCAAAAGCCCTGTGCCCACACTTAGTTTAGGCACAAAAATACCTCTTTGAGGTGACTACTTAATTAAAGCTAATTGTGTACCTCTGTGACTGAGCAGAGGACCGTTTGATAACACATGGACTTGGAGCCTCACCTGTGCCTGAACAAAAAGGCACAAAGTTTTTTTTGCCTAAACAGGCAAAAAGCGATGAGTATATGCAATGCAGCTGCCTCTCCAGTTCTGTAAGCTTAGACACATACAGCTTTATAAACTTGACTATTAGAGATAAAAGACGTAATTCAGCAAGACAGTAGCTGCCACATCTTCCCGCAAGTGTGCCCTAAGCAGTACCGCAGCAGGTTGCCACACCAGAGCGCCAGGTCCTGGGGCATGTCCCAGCACATCTGCTAGGGCCTTGGAGACCTTTAGGAGGCAGCTGACGTTAAAGGCACCCAGCCTGCAACTGCCTAAGACGCCAGCCAGTAGCGCAAACAGCGGTGACCATGGGTCACAGACTTCTGTGTACAGCAAGGGCCCTCACAGGAAAGGAATTAACCTGAGGCGTAGAAAATCAAGAAGGTTATCCAGGGTAAAATCCTCATACCACTGAAGCCTTTATCGTCAGTGGGGGCAGGATTTCATTCCAAACACACCATGGTATTTTGAAAGGTTTTTTTCCTCCCCTCCCCAAGGGAAAGGCGGGTTTCTTCTCAAACCAAAAGGTCTGAGAACATTTGAGGCTTTCAGGATGTTCAGGAAGATCTACACCATGTGTTTTGAGTGTAAGCCCATACATAAACCCAAACTTAATTCACATTTGCATTGTCTGGGATAGTCCGGAGCAAAAATAATTCGTCCATGCTACCATTTGTCAAAAGCCCAGCCTTGCCTATTTCCAAGGTACGTGGGTGAGGCACACCGTATCTATCCGACTGTATCTTCTCTGTATGACACCTCTGGAAAGGCAGACAAACCAACAGCAGGGTCCTTCCCAAAGGAGCCCAGATAATGCAAAGTCCAAAAGCAGATGGAATTCAAGTGTTCCTGAGCTTAGGTGTCCCTTATAAAATATGACTAGGTGACAGAAAGCTATAGGCATGTTATTTGTTTTCACCTGCACAAATAGCTCATGCAGGGAAACACCTCTATCTAAGTACTAAATACAAGATGTTTCCTTCCAGTTTGAAAGAACAGGATTACTAGACCCATCCTACCTTCCCAAGGACTGACTTCCCAATTTTCTTTTCAAGTTCTAGTGCATTGAGCCTCTGAATTTCTTGGGCGACACAGGATGGTCTGTGGATGTGGACTCTGGAAGAGTTGTAGAGATTCCATTTCTCCACACTGATCTGAAATAGGGAATATACTATTACTTCTATCCAAAATTAAAATTTCCATACTATTCATACGGATTACCATCCAGAAATAAAGCCTCCATTAATATTATTACTTATTAGTAAATACTGTAATTTAAGACACGAAAGTCAT